TGGCCTGATCAGAAAAACGTCAGTAGCATAATTTCATTCTAACTTCCTCTTTTTGCGCATTTTGTTCCCATAAAAAATGAGGCTTTCTAAAGAGTACAGAAACAAGATTTTACGCACACACACACAAACACACACACGCACACATACATATACACAGCAGAAACACAGGTACGCACGCACACACACATGCAAAATGATCTCGTGGGGCGCGTTACCATTTTTCCAAGAGCATCGGTGAAGCGTACAGATCTCACGTGGAAAACGCCCAAACTCGGTTCTACATCAAAACCACCCATCGAACAATGTTCAGTAGTTCAATGCAAACGGCATAAAATTGAAAGGTAATTCCTCATGAAGTGCATTTAATGAATGATTTTTCGACGTCAGTAATAGTATAACTGGTCTCAATTCATAGAAAGACATTGATTAAAACTATCTGATTTTTATATATTGGGCACCGGTCTTTTCCTTAGAAATAAGAATGCGCTTTTCAATTACCTGCAATATAAAAATAACCATTCCATTTTCTTGAACCTGCTATAAATTGAGTTTTTTTTCATGTAACTGAGAAATTGTAGCAGTTCTGACTGACGATTTTCAAATTAGACGAATTAAGCACATTTTCCCTTAATAACACCATGTCTATGTCACAGTTTTAATGTTTTTCAACACCGCTGTGTTTCCGGAAAAGATGCAGACAGCGGAAGTGACAGCTCTGGATAAGAAGGGACATGTAATATTCTCAGCAACTATCAACCTCTTTCTATCCTCCCGTTATTCTCAAAAGGCTTAAAAAAACGCTCCTTCAGTACTTTTTTCTGATAAACATGCCTTGCTCACTTCCGCACAGTTTGGTTTTAGAAAATTCCGGTCGACTGAGTTAGCATTATTGGAACAAAAATAATACACCTGCAAACATTTGCAAGAAAACAAGTTTCCCGAAAGCTTCTAATATTATCAATCGTTATATTTAACTCAAAAAGCTAAAATATCATGGTATCAGTGGGTTACTTTCACAGCTTCTAAAATCCTACTTGCGAAATCGTAGCCAATAAGTTTTTATCGGCCAATATTCTTCTAACGCCAAATGTATTCGTTAAGGTGTCCCTAAGACGCAGATGCGCCTGCGTCCATTATCAAGAGAGTGTTCTTGGTTTCTACCCTTTTCAATATGTACATAAATTACACTGTAAACACGTGCACTTCAAAATTCGGTATAATGGTGACGACAGGACAGTTTTTTTTTTTTAAATCTAAAAATAGTGGTTATCTTGTTGCGATTGCCAATACTACTCTGACCAAACTAAGAACACGGACAAGAGACAATTGCTTAAAAATTAATACTGATAAAACTAAAGCGACTATTCCTTCGACCAAAAAAAAAAAAAGTCTTGTACTTTAAACAGAAGTATCGTCGTTGACTCTACCCCAGTTGAAATTGTGCGTAAGTTTATAAATCTTGGAGTCATTCCTTGTGAACACATGTCGTGGGACAGCCACATTAATCACTTATAAACTTGTCAAGCGTTAAGGCTCCTTCGCGCATTTGCGTCGACTGCGTTGCCCCGCATTACGTCGTGCAGCATAGCGCCTCCCCATCGGCTCGTCGTATGGGTCGCCATAGCAACAGCTCGACGCGAGCAGCCTTAATGCAGTCAAACGCAGTCAAACGCAACTGTGGGATCGAGCCTTTGTAGGAGTGACATTTCGTATCGGTAAAAGACTCCAAGGCAATGTATAGCTATATATTTACATTTTTTTTCTTCACCTCAACTATGGCAATCTCGTTTTGGGTAATGCACCGTTTACGAACCTTCAAAAATATTTTTGTTGTAGAAACAAAATGGTAAGAATAATATCTAATATGCCTTATGATTTTCATACAAATAATCTTCTGAGAAATTTAAAGTGCTAAAATTGCATAACCTCTGCGGACACAGATTTTGCCTGAGTTTAAAACTAGGAAGAAGAAAATACTATAAGTCGCTCTCAAACTTTGCAATATGAACACCAAATCAACCCGTCTACTTAACTAGACACATAGAGGAGGGTCGTACCTCGTCGTCTTGAATATGGTACTCAAATGTTAGAGCATATACCCTACCTAGGCTGTTAAGCTTTCTTATAAAAAAAATAACTCTGCTTAGACACTATCTCCTACGAGGACTTGCGTTCGCCTCTTCTGTACTAGGGGCTTCGGACACTAATTTAAACTTTTTTATGTATGCTTTGTGTGTGCAAGTGCTATCTGTTAGATAAGGTGTACTCTTCCCCTGTTCTTTCTGACTTCTTGCTTGAAATATAAGTGCACGTATTCGATATTGTTACCGTGTTCCAATATTGCTGCAAAGCCAATGTATGGTACTGAGGGCTAGTCAAGCCTCCTCTGAGGAGTTTGCTCCAATATTAAACACAAACAATAAACTACTTGTTAAGAATTTCCCTATCAAGGCTATTAAAAAAACAGTGGTTCTGCTTATGCTGATGCTATTAAGATTCGATCGGTGAAATATGGAATACAACTTATTGCCGGCTTGCTAGCGGATACATCGATATTACTTTCTAGACATGCGTCTTTCAGAAAGGAATGTAAATAGGTAAAGGGTAAACGCAAGATTAAATAAAAGAAAATAATGACATAGGTCACTAAAGTCCCATTTTAATTCTTATAATATTTTCTAAGGTTCTTGAGAAAGTGTTACATAAACTTCTCATCAATTTCTTCGACAAGCACGGTTTGATAAGTAGCGCATATCCTGATTCAAGAAAACGTCTATCAACGGAAGAATCGCTGTTGATAGTGATACTTCCGTTGATAGTCGTTTTCTGAAATGTTTTGCAAAATGTGCGAGTAGTCCATAATTTAAGTGTATATGCTCATAGACTTCCAGGATACAGTTATATATTAATTAATAAAAGTGACTTGGAAACTTATCAGCATATAAACTCAAGTCGTCGAGTACTCGCACATTTTGCAAAAGATTAGTGGATAAATCATGGGGTAATTAAAGAAAAACTAAAGCGTTATTTTGTTTTTTTGCGACCATGCGAAAATACTTTTTAGCTCGTATTTCGTATTGAAGAACGATTCATCCTATCGATTCTTCAGTGTTAAGTAGCCGGTCCCAGGTAACGAGGCCAAAGTCTTCACTTCCTTGAATAAGGATTGAATTATATACACAAGACTCCCACAAGAAAAAACCGCTCTCGCAGCTGTCCGGTTAGTGCGTCGGCAGTGCTGTATTAAGTGACAAAGGACAGGTTTGAGCCGCAGGAAAATGTTTTAGTGCGGTCTTCCAATCAAATTGTTGAAATAACTGCTGTTTCTTAGATATTATAATTTAAAGAAATAAAGAAACATCTTAATGCCTTGCGTTCTTGGTATTAGAAAAGTTCTCATAGCTTTGGGGAGGGAAAACAGACAACAGCGTAATCACAGCAGTCAGCGGTTCAACAACAGAAACGCACAATCGTGTGTTCAGAAGCCGGCGGCGTCTGGGGCATGAAATTCGATGCATTTGCGCTTCCTACCAGCTTTATAATGAATATCAGTGTCTCAGACATGGTGTGAAAGTTTTGCGTTTCAATACACGGCGATTGTAAGGTGTACTTCGTTTTTCGGTAGTAAATCATCTTCATAAAATCATTTAAAAATTAAGTAGTTATGTCTTAGGTGCCTATAAAGTCCAAAAGGAAGCATAGGACTGTGCCACAGTGCGACACCGACAACTGGAGCTGCGCTGTGTTAAATGTTTCCAACAGCGTTTACTTACCGAACCAAGACAACCTTCAGCGAACCTGGTAACTGATGGTGGTTAATGCACTGATAGGTTCAATGAAATTCCGTGAGACGGTAAACTTTTGGTTTGCACCCTGAGATTATGAGTTCACATGCACATGGCGCGTGCGTATATTCATACGCGTGCAGAATTTTATACGTGAATTGTTGGCCCCACTTTTTTGCCTGTTCAAATTCAGTCACACAGAAGCTGTTTAACAACTTACATCGATATACGACTTAGAATTATCGCAGCAAAGTAAACAAACGGTTGATGTTTACGTGGTAACCTGCAGTTGCATCTCAAATACGCTCACGCAACGTAGCCCAACCCACTCAAACGCTACTGTGGGCACGGGAGTTTGTCCGACCTGCTCCTATCTTACTTCCGTTGTTTATTTTACAGCGAAGCTGATTATGGCTAGGGTTCCATGGAGTTTTCGTGTGCAGGAACAAAACCTCTACGCTCGCACCACCGCACGCACCGCACGTGCACGCCTTCCCCGTATGAAAGATTCAAAGTAAATAACCAAAATAAAGCTTTGACGAACGCACCTGCAAGGTGCCATTTGTTTTAGGCTTTTGCCTTAAAACATTTACTGCTGGAGACGCCGGCACGTGCGGCGCGTGGAACACCATTCCCTGCATTCTACTTGATGCCTGGGTAATTTAACAATATGTCTACTGCACTTCCTTTCTCTCGTCGTAATAGTTAGGCCACGTTGTGCACCACAGCGACCTCAAGGCCATCGTCACCACCATCGCGACCACGTGATCCACCGATTAAGACAAATTAGAAACCACAGATCAAGGTAAATAATGACCACCAACCAAGACAACAATAAATCTGTGTACGTGTCCCTTTGTCACTATGAACACCGATCAAGACAACAAATATGCTCGTACCTTTGTTGAAAATTTTGTGTCGCGTCTGTGTGGTGTGCTAAACAGTTCCGCTGTTGTTCCGCCTTCACTGAGTGGAATGGCACGTGATTGTGTGCACATTTCATGGCACTGGCTTGTTGTGGGTCTTCCTACAAATCTTTCGGAGCCAAATGTATTTAAATGCGATTAACAGAAGTCGTCATAAGCACTGGGGTGTGGCAGATCGCGTTTAAATAGTTTTTGTTTTATTTACAAGCTAAAACTTATTTGAGTATATACAGGAAACTGTTACTACACATGGAAGGCTGAATTGCTCTGGCCTTGCTCCTGTTTAAGCGGTGGGGATTCTTTTGTGGCTGTACTAGTTTCACTCTCGTCCGACAATACTTCATATTCCGACGATTTGGTCGCAATACGTCGGCACGCTGTCCTCAGCCACACACCACCAGCGATGCACATCTAAAAAAAGAGACACAATGGCATGTCAAAATGGTAACGCAAAGAAGATACATAAACGATTAATTTTTTTTTTTCGTTCTTTCACACGGGACAGGTCATTCGGCAAGAAATTGGGAGAGAGGAGGAGATGAGAGTGGCTTTGGGACGTTAGAACACCGAGCTCTAGTTGGAATGATTAGTAAGAAGGCAGAAAGTTAGCTGCCTTTGTCTTTACACACTCTTTGAACGCGTTGGAACACGAACGCCAAATGCGGGACGCTGACGTTCGGCCTTCGCTGGCGTCCGAAGACTGAGTAGAGACAATGACGGCTAGATAGCTTTGCGTCTAGGCACTAATCATTCCAACCAGAGCTCGGTGCTCTGAAGCCTCCGCACGCTCTGGGCTCCGCCTCTCCCTAAATTCCTCCTCGTATACAAAACTAAGGTGAAAACAAAGCAGCAACTGTAACAACAGCAACAGAAGGGCAAATACAACCAGGGATGTCGTGCATCTGCTTAGGTTGAAGTTCAAACGGTTGCAACTTTTTTGTAACAATTAACGCCCAGTTACACAAAATTTCGGTTGAAGTTGGACTACGTATTACGATATGCGCGCGGGAGGAAATTGAAAACGAACTGATGCCACCCCGCGGAGGATGGGTAAGATATTTGTTGGGTATATGTTGTTGCATTCTTTCGCATTATTAAACAAATTAAAGCGCATAGGCATGTTTTTGTATTGCCAAACCGTTCGTAATTTTTTAGAAAATATGAAGTAAACTACACTATAAATCTATCTTTGCCATAAATTCAAAATGCGGTTGTAAAAGTTGGGCAACACTGTTCAAAAGTCGAACTTTGTCGAACTTCGATAAAAAGTCGGAGGTTCCAGTCGAATTTCAGGTTCGGCGAAATGCGCGACATCCCTAGATACAACAGGTGCAAGACGGCAACCTTTCTGCCGTCGAGCCTACAACCACTGCAACGGCGCCTGCGCAGTGGCAGCATGGTCGCTATAGGTGTCGTCTGCGGGCTCTTTCAGGTATAAATATACATAGATAGTGGGAAATATTTTGTGGCGTGATACGTAAATAACATCAGTAAACTGCTAATTACGTCCCCCCAGTTTATGTTTGTGGTTGCGTTCTGCCTAAAAGAATTTCCAGACCCGTGAGGCGGTGTACAGAGCGCGACAAACGTCAGCACAAACGCGGATTTAAAAGCGTTTTCTCACTTTTTTATTACATTGAAAACTCTGGCTAATAGAAAATCAGCCGGCGCACTGTTATGTGCACAAGTGATGCTCCCATTTCGATACACTTCGTTTCACCGCGAGCCCGAGAGTAGCCGAGGCTACCAGCGTACACTGTTAGCAAGTCCCGTGTATTTGGCGAATATTTGGGGTGAAAAACACGCTATTTACACAAATTACCATAAATTTACACGATGAGTAACGGATAATTCGTTCAGAAATCATGCGAGGTTGTAAAAAACGTGTTTTGGTTCGCTCATACACGCATAACCGTGTAGCCGACCTCGATAACACGCATCGCCCCCGGCGACGACCGCGGCATTGCCGGCTATCGAAGCACCGGAATGCTTGGGGACACACTTAGAAAGGACCGTCGAGACAAATGACGCGGAAAGAAACATGTCTCGGAGACAGATATGCACCAAAAGCAATTGCGCCATGTCGCAGGACGTTGGCCAAACCCGCGCTTACCGTTTCTCGCCGCCATCTTCTGGTCGATGTCAATGCGGCTTCCCTCATGTCGCCCATGTTTGTATTTAGTTTAGGGGTCCTGATAACAGTTTCTTAGACACCACAAATAAAGTTATGGGTCTAATTATTCGTTCCAAACAGTTAAAATGGATATAAAAAGCGTGTCCTTGATGTGAACACGTGACATTGCAGTTGGTTTCGTTTTTGCTTCAACCTTCAACTGCAAGCGATCTGGCCACGGGGCAAGCGCAACGCCGATGTACATACGCTGGAAGCAAGCGCCGGTTGGCTTTCGTTGTTTTTGTTTGACCGGAGAAAATCTGGCAAGTACGCATGGCGCCGCTACTGTTTTGGTTTGACGGGAGGCGAGAAGCTTCGCATAGAGCTTCGGAGTTTGCGAGCACATAGTGAAGACGTGACCGGAGAAGTGCCCCTGCACGACGATTACGAATGCTACGGAAAGTAGCATTCGTAATCGTCGTGTGTGCTTTGAAAGCGAAGGGAGTCACAGGGTCCACGAGTTCGCAACCACAAGCCAAGGTTCACGACAGCGCGGCGTTGACTTCGGCGATCTCGTTCTGTTTGGTGCAACCCGGCGATGCGAAAAAGAGCTGAAACATTCGTCGTGTGTGGTGCGGTGCTTTGTATTCCGGGTCTGTTTGTACCACGCTTTTAACACGGAGCGCAAATTGTTTGTTACGTGGTGGAGGTTCAGCGGGTACAGTCCCGTCGTCGTCAGCTGATCCGGTCCAGCTGGTCCGGGAGGACGCAGCGAGCGTTTTTAAAAGTAAATCTTCCTTCGTTCCGTTTCAAACTGTGGAAGCATCCCGACACATACCGTGAGTAAGAAGCAGCGGGCGTTTTCAACAAAATTCCGTTGTTTTAATTGAATAATGGACTCCGGATTGTTGTCTTAAATCTGCCGTTTTTTATGCTTCGTGTTGGACTGCGTTTGCATAGCGACGCACACCGCTCGAGTAGATGATTCGGTCCTGCAACGAGTTTGTTGCGCCAATCATGCGGCGTGAATAAATTAGGGCAAGGTTTCCTACCTGCCCACAGATGCATGTACTGAGACCATTTTTTATGTTGTGAACGTAGTGCTCTTTCTTTATTTTGGAAGACGCGTTGGTGCATTTATTGTGGTACAATCACTTGAGAGTTGAGAAATTGGAGAGCGAGCAAGCTTTCTCAACTTTGTCTCTTTCTCTCTGGCACTGCCCTGTTTCAGTTTCAGTAGGCATATCTACTAGCAGGTACAAACTGCTCTAAAGCAGGTAAAAAACGGGAAGCTTAGGACGGTGCGGACTCCGTATTTCGCGCTTTTCGCAAGGTGACAGGGTAAATGCTTTTGTGAGATATGCGAAATGTGCAAGCGATTTTGTTATGCCCGTCGTTTGCGTCTCTCCAGCAAAACGAATAAGATGATCTACTACAAAGGCGCAATCACAAGCCAAGATTTAAGATAGCAGTCGTTTGCTTCGGTGATCCGTGTAGCTGTATTTTACCCTGCTCTCTGCAACACCGTGTCATGACGAAGAGCTGGAATGGTCACGGTTTGTGCTGGCCTCCCGGTTGACAGAAACCCGCGTCGCCCGCATCGGCACCGAGTGCGCTTGGGTTGTTGATGCTCAAGCCTTTCATCCGCGGCTTGTCGCCAGCTCATCCTGCTGCTCAACGGTGAGGAAGCGGCGAAAGTAACCTCGGAAGTGAATGTAAATCCTCGTTCATTCAGTTATCCGGTGTCAAAGTGTGGAAGATGTCCAACGTGTACTGAGGGCGGGAACTACGAGCGTTTTGCCTTGCTTTTATAACCGAAACCAGACCAACGAGATAACTGCCTTGCGTACTCTAAAATTACGGAAGCAATAAGTTTCAACAGGTCGAGTACGTCACCGGGGATGTAGGCGAGACGGTGCACACTGTTTAAACGCTTGCAGTATCCACGAGTGGTACCAGGAAAGCGACGTCAACAGAGAAGGAGCTCGCGATTCAGCATAATGCACTGCTACGGGCCCGTGTATCTTCAAAGTTCGGGGTGGTGGCAGTATAAAAAAAAGACGCATCAGCGCCCCACACCAGTGTTCACGAATAACACCGGTCACAAACTCCCAAGCCCCACCGCTCTTCTCGACACCGACACGACATACGACAACAAACTGCATCAAAACGCCCCAAAAGTGAAGGCGTCTGCTCCCGTACTGCAACTGCTGCAACTAGCGGAATTGAAGTGTTGCGCGGATGTCCGGATGTCCTTCACAAAAATATATAAAAAAATGCTTTGCGCAAGGATCATTTTCATTTATTTTTGTATACGTAATGACAAAATCCCAATAATTTGTTTTCCTATCTGATTCAAGCTAGTCGGACTGCTCATAACACTGGTCAAGCAAGAAAATAACAAAAATTTGAACTTTTTCATGACCGGTTTAAGATTTATTGTTAACATATCGTTATTTATTGCAACGGACTAACATTATAGATTTTGCCTCCATACTTTTTAAATGCAAACAGTTCTAACACACGGCAGTCCATTGCGCCGTGGTTTGTGTATTCTTCTATAAATCTGTAATGGTCAGCGACCAAAGAGCTCACCCGCACATGTCAAGCTTATATGCGCCGCGGGGAGAAATGGATATCGAGTAGGAAGTGTCGGGCGTAGTGTCGGTTGTTGTGTTTGTGTACATGTCGGTGCTGTGTAGCTGTGTGCTGTGTTGCCTGCGTTGTATGTAGGGTTGCTGTGTAATCGTGGTCGTTCGCAGTGTTAACAGACTCGTCTTTTTTTTTTTTTTTTAAACAGGCTGCTAGAAATCTCGATAGGTGGCGCAAGTTACCGCCCGATTCTAAATAGTTTGCTCAAGTTATTTATCCATGTAAGTTCGGCATTCGCTTTTTTTTTTTTTTTTTTGTCTAGCGGCTCTTTGAAGCTATTGACGCCGCCGACCGCCGACAACGCACGTACGTACCTTTGCAAGTAGCTACGTCCGCCGCTTGGAGACTTTACTGTGTATAAAAGACATCGAAAGAGAACTAACGCACCCTGTGTGCTTTCAATTCGGCTGAAAGGCGCGCGGCTCGCTGGGCTCGTCTCTCGCCTGTTCTCGGCCGCTGGCCGCCATGTTTCATAAGGAACACGCTCGAAACGGTTTTGCGGAAGGCAGACACGGTGTAGCGTGTTAAGTTTACACAGCACCTCATGTGTAGACGAAAAACACAGATGGCCTCGTGTAAAACGAACACGTTTCGACGTGTCCGCTATGGGACAACGGTTTACACGTCTGGGCGTGTTATTTTTGCTAACAGTGTACTGCGGTCAATCGACCAGTGCCGACCGCGCAACGTCATAGGGTTAGTTGTCGTTTCGTGCTTGTATGACAGCTCACTGATCCACTTAAGCACGAATCACACAAGGTGACCAGTGTTGGGAAGTATTTTAACTACATTGTACTTAAAGTACTACTTTAGGTAGGTTTAGTAAACTTGTCCTTCACTAGCAGTACCTTCTCCGAGTATATACTTGCACTACTTTACTTAAAGTATTTTTTCTGGTACTTTCCGAAGAAAGTGCAATTCCCGACTTAAAAGAACATTCCCCAAATTTGATTTTGCTACATTTGTATCACGAAATGATGCTTTGTCAACTCCGAAGAAATACTGAGAGGGATATTCTACTCTCACCAGGAAAGTGAGCAGACGACGCATCGCTCCGTTTGTTCTGGGGGCGGCGTTCCCGTAGCTTTCAGAACTCTCGTTACTTCTCGGTCGGGCAACGCAGGCAAGGAGGTTTAAAATATTATGAGAGAGAAATTAATCATAATCTAGCGCCTTAAACTGTGGTACGGAAAAATTATATTTTCAAGTCGAAGTAAAAGACAACAGAGGAGAACGTCACAATGTTTTGAGACATTCTCCTTTGTCTTTTCCTTCTATTTGAAAGTTCCCTAATTTTTTCACACCCCAATCTCAGGTGTCACATTATGATTAATTATCACCAGCTCGCTTGCACACTCACTGTTTTTTTTTCATTAAGGAGAGGAAACTGCTCCATGAGAGGATTGCATGCGGAAGCTACGGGGCTGACGTCATGCTCTCTCTTAGTACATTTAACCCCCTTGGTGCAACAATCCAGTGCAAGGGGCGCCAAATTAAGAAGACGGACTTCTGAATTTGGCTCCCTTCCAAAAAATAACTACTCTATGGCCACTTGACTTTATCAAATATTCGTCGCTGTTTTTGAAAATATAGGTCATGCACCCCTGATTACCACTGGGCAATGCATACCAGTTAAAAAATCACTGTATAGGGGAATTCAAGAGCATCATGAAAGAGCGTGTTAAATACTTGCAGTCTACTTTGAACGTACATTGTATTTATAGTACTTTACTTCAAGTATGTTGCACACAGTGTACTTAATACTTTACTTAAAGAACACTACGTCTCATTTACTTTGTAATTTACTTGAAGTACATTTTTAGATGTACTTCACCCAACACTGAAGGTGACTCTGCGCTTTCCTTTTGCGTAACTGCATGCGTTCTGTCATAGGCCTTTGCTCCTACCTCGGGTAAAACCGAGTTATACAACGCCTTACCTTACGATAAACCGCGGATGACGCAACAAGCGAACCCAGCCAATCAAGCTCTGTCAACGGATCATGTAACCACGCACACCGTGCGTCGCAGCGCCCCAGCCGAACGAAGGTCACGTGACACACAAGCGGCACCAGAACCGCAGCGAACGCTGGTAGCGTTCGCCGCGGTTCATCTAAACGTAAAACGCCGGGTCGTAAATTTTTTTTTTTTTTGTTGGGATTAACAGAAATACAGGCTTTGAGTGAGGTGGTTAGGAAAAAGATTAAAAAAAAGTTATTCCCGTCCGCTCCTACGTTAGCACTGCAGACTTAAAGCCCATCTTAAAAGAAAAAAAAATTAATAAGGTAAGTGTACCAGCTAAACAATTGAGCAAAACTATAGTTCCCCATTATATGTATGTATGTATATATATATATGATTGAGAGCTATAGTTTTGTTCAATCTTTTACTCTTGTTCTGTGGCTGAGGTCAAAATAGCCATATTATATATATATATATATATATATATATATATATATATATATATATATATATATATATATATATACATATATATATATATATATATATATATATATATATATATATATATATATATATATATATAACGAAGTGAAAAACTCACGGTGAGAACAACAGGCAGCGTAAGTTTAATCGACAGTTTCGCCGAGAAACTCGGCTTCGTCAGGAGATGACTTACAAGTTACTTGTAAGTCATCTCCTGACGAGGCCGAGTCTCTCGGCGAAACTGTCGATTAAACTTACGCTGCCTGTTGTTTCTCACCGTGAGTTTTTCACTTCGCTACACATGCGCCTTCGGCCCCTTGGCTCCTATGCCAACCATGCCCACTATATATATATATATATATATATATATATATATATATATATAGCTATTTTGATCTTAGCGCCGGACAATCACGTCGGTCCAACTTCCCGCCTACGTTTTAGCCAAGTGTCCGGATTAGAGCCCCTACCCGGCCGCACCGAGGTTTAAGAGAAGGTGTGGAAAAACAGTTATACGGATGGAAAGAGTTGTTATGCACAAACCTGTATGAGCGAATAAAAAGGTAGAGCTACGGATGTTTCCTTAACATTGGATGTTTTTTTAACACAGTGAAAATTCACGCATCTCTTTTGCACCAAGGAAAATGCGACAAATGCTTGGCTCCGTTTTACCCATATCAGCAAAGCTCCGAAGGTGACCATAGATGCTTGACGGTATCCGTAGCTAGTCACGAGGAACCCTGCTAATGGCGGTGTTGCGACAGTCCTAGCGAAAAGGAACCGGGTGGGAAACACTGTATTACAAAAATGCGATTTATAATTGGGCGTGTGTTCGTCCCATGTGCACTAGACCATAAAACCTCAAAATTTTGTGCGATGCACTAAATTGCGGTGTCGAGGATGCACCAAGTTATGTTGTTTATAGAAAGTCGTGTATTCGTTAACAAAAACAAACGAAGTCCGAGCTCGAGCTGAGTCAAAACCGGGCTGGAGGAGCGCGGCATTAAAGAATATTGGAAAAGGCATATAAATATTTTTTAAATCAACAAATTTTCTTTGGTTTGCTGAAAATTTTATAAACTGTGGTATGAACAAAAGAATCAGAGTTTTTTCTGCTGTTCGTTCTTGTTACTGACTGCTGGAAAAGCAGAGATAATTTCTGAGTATTACGATTTTGAGCCTTAAATAGTTTTTCCCTCGCAGACTGAGCTGGGTTTCTGTAAATCCTGTGTTTTTCTTTTTTAAAGAAAAAGAATCAGCTATTTAGTTTGACCCTTGTTTTTTTTAAATTCTGATATGACGATTGTGCTGAGATAGGCATGTCCGTAAAAAGGAAGTTTTTCGTTCTTTTTCGACAGGTAAGCGAGGAATCGGATGGTAACTTGAACAGGCGCAAAATAACCTTCTTACCCTAAAATGGTGAACTGGTAGAATGTGGTGGACACAAAGTCCCTTGTGTGTGAGGTGTCGGGGTAGCCTGCCCTTCCTCTGTATTGAGAACAAGAACAATGGTTTTTGAGATTTGGATTCGAATTCAATTTACTTTCTCTCAATTGAGGAAGAGAGCAGCTAAAGAAAACTTTGGTATGACCTAGTTTTTAGAATATTAACTACCATTTATTAATATAATGGTTACTATATATTTTTTAGAAAATAAACCACATTAATTCAATTATCAAAAATATTTCACAAAATGGTTGGATGAAAGCATTTGTTTATTACAGTTTACTTTCACGTACTTCGCAGGTTAATGAAAACTCCAAAATATACTGGGCGAGGGGAAACCAACGGACGTCATTGTCAACCTACTAGTGAATGCTTATTATATTGACTTCAGGAGGGTTTAAGATAATATATAAATAAAGAGAAAGAAAAAGGTGGAGAAAACGAGAAAGAAAGAGGAAGAGAGACAAAAAACACGAAAATGCGACTTCATAGTCTTTATGCCACTTAATATACTTTCCGCCCAAAGCTATTTCCGTAATGATATAGGGGTGTTTCACCGAAGGCTTTCGAAAATCCCTAAAAATAGGCGTGTTGAGAAACAAACATAAAATGTTTCCGGAAAAAACATTGCTAGCCATGGCAAACATCAGAGATTGCAAAAATACAAAGAAAATTATTAGCCAATTATATAACTACAATTTCCAAATGAGCTTTCGATTCAGAAAAAATAAGCATAGGGTTCAAATGAGAAAGTTGCTACGCATCTTTTTAAACCACTACATCAATTCGTTTTAGAAAAAAATAAGGCAGGGGCAGCATTTTACGGCGTTCCGAAGAAAACGCTCAAACGCACCGAGGTCTCCGGCGATGAGAGCGAACAATTTTCAGGCAGCTACTTCGTCTCCCCTACGATGGACTAAAGGCAAAAGCTACGGAGTGCCAAATCCAATCACGAACCACTTAGAAATTGTGTGGTGTTTCGCTTCGATGCACGTTTCGATGGTCGCGTCTCGGATCACTGATGGGGATGTGCGGGCAGTGGTTCGGATCAAACAGCACTGAGTGACTCAACAATTTTACATTGCAAACAAAGCCACAAAATACAAGGCCTTTCAATGTCGAAACTATAGAAATTGACGCAGCGTTTTCCGCTATGCAGCCTGATTCGTCCACTCCTAATCAATGCTAAGCATGTCATAGTTTAGCGTGAAACGTGATTGAACCTGGCGGCCCCTGGCTTTGGCATTTAGTCCATCATAGGATGACACAAGTATAGGACGATAGGTGACCAATGAAAACGTCACATTTTGTTGAGATAGCATACGGTGTTGTTGCAAAATGTGTATGCTTTTGTAGATGATAAACAAATTTAAGAGTAGACAAAAAGAAAACTTTTTTTTTTTTTTCGCGGAGAGGGAACATAATACTGCTTCAACAATCATCTCAAAAACAACGCACTAAGTATTTTTTTTTCTATATGAACTGATCTGTTTGGTCGTCAGGTTTCGAGCGCGCGCTCGCTGGGTTCAATCGTAGTCCGGGATGTACGGCCAACTAGCCGCGCACATTCCAAGATCACTCCGCGGTTCCACCGGTCGGAGTCGCGAGGATCCTTCGCTTGCTATTGGCTGACGGTGGTCCTGCACTCTAAAAAAAAGACCCGGGCGTCTACTTTCCACACAACATACGGAGAGCCAATCACCGCAGCTTACGGAGGCAGCCCAGCGAATGACAATGCCGATACATATGATTAGACAAAAAAACGCAGTCTGAGTTGTGACATTAAGCAATGCAAGCGTGACGTTTTGCATTGCTTAATGTCACAACTCAGACTGCGTTTTTTGGTCTAAACATATGTCTCGGCATCGTCATTGGCTGAGCTGCCTCTGTAAGTTGCGGTGATTGGCTTTTTATGTGTTGTGCGGAAAAGCAGACGCACGGGCGTTTTTTTAGAGTGTGATTTCAGAACATGCTCCTCCCATCGTAGGAGATGACCTCGGTGTGTTGCAATCTTCGATTGCTGTTTTGAATAGGAAATCGGCAGCGCTTCGTCACGATTTGAGGATTTCTAGGATAGTGAGAGCCAGCAGGGAGTTAGTTATCGCCGTATTTAGCCGATCTGAGAAGCCTCCTCGGGGCACCTTTAATGTATTTTGTACTTTATTTAATCTTACGCGTTACTCTCAAACTCGAAATTGTTCTGCAAACTTACACGACATATCTTAATGCCCGCGCGTAAGAGCACGTGAACATCGCTGCAGAGCCAATTCCCAACAATGTCTGCCCTGCATAGATTAACCGAAGGTTCCTGAAAAAAAAAAAATAAAAACATTATTGCGTCTACACTAAAACACCAAATTTTTAAACTTTACGGCGAGAAAGTGTTTCAAAACACGACTTTGCCGCATCAGAACGCGAGGAGGGGCACACCACGACTTAAACAATGCGTAGAGAACGCGAGGAAGGACACACCATGACTTAGAAAAGGCGTAGAGAACGCGAGATGACGATAAAACCAGACGCGCGCAGCCGTTTGGCAGCATCGTCATCGTTTGGCTGCAAAAGAATTTGGGAGCATCTGGAGGGTAAAGAAACGCATGAGGTGGACCAAAGCGCAGGAGATCTTGCACGCCGTATAATAAATAGAAAATGATCTACTAAAAAAAACGAAAGAGGAAAAGAAAAGAATTTCTAGAAGAAACACGCCTCAAGTACTAACCCAAACATTCACACAAAAGCGTTTCAACGTCGTGTTTTTTTAATCGAACCATATAGGTCGGATGTTTAACAATTTATACGTTTTACTACCGCATTCTCGCTACTCACGGTTTCATTGGCACAAACGGCGCAGGTCCGATGATGCATAATGCGACGGCGACTAATAATTCGCCGACGATTACATAGACACCATCGACCTGGAAAAAAAATATTTATATGATTAATCAAAGACTCAATAAAATATAGTGCCCTATCTCGGTCAGAGCAGGTTGACTGAACGTGCGTGCAGCTGTCTTGGAATGTTGGCATATACTACGCCATCTTGTAACCAAATTCGTATTTACTTCAATGCTGCACGTGAAAGAGCGCATCCCGGCGTTATTAGAAATGCCTGAGTCCCCAGCTTTGCTCTGTGGCTTCAAAACGTTGTACCTACTCAAAGACGAAATTGACACACTTTTTAATGAAGAAGCAAGATGGGTCACCTAGGAGTTCGTCATGTATAGGTGTGACAACACAATGAATGGTAACTTTCGTTAGCGTTATACTTTGTTTTCATTACCTTTATCGTATAAGAGACGGTCATTTACAGATCGATTAAGAAGGATAACACATGACTTGATCACACTCTCAACATAGTAATGCTAAAACTACATGATTGTCTCTGTCCCTTCGTTCAATGAGGAATACCTTGTATGTCGAAAATATTCCGGCGATCACGGCACCAGCGGAATACCCGACCGATTTCGCCGTGAAAACACTTCCGACTTGAACGTTTGAAAGGTTGAACTGAAAGTTGATGTACGAAACGTATAGTTGATATTAGACCATGAGCATTTAGCGTTTTAGAATTATGTTCTTGATTGATGGAAGACTGTATCTAACCTGAGTCAGGTAAGGTTGCAGCGTGGGTCCATTGAAGCTATCGATGAACCAGCCTAAAATAAAAGTCCCCATGTTTGCGACGAATATAGGGTCCCTGAGCAGCATGTAGCAACTGGTGGAATGACCTTGAGTAGCAATGTCATGATCTTGGCATTTCTCTTTCTCTGAAATCGGTCAAAGGGGTCAGTTGTTAGTACTGCCTACTTACAGTCATTTCGTTTCGTGCCTCATGATTGAAACAATAAAAACATAATTGAAATTGCCAACTAACATAAAACAACAGGCCATTTGAAAGTCGTCGTTGGGTATTCCGTGAACAAAATAACTGATTTTGTTTCCTTGGCTGAGTTTGGGTGGATCCCAAAACTTGACTTGTATTGTGCTTTCTGCTTTCAGGCGGCTTTCTGTACGAGATGAACTCTATTCTGTGTTGCTAATTCGTATTTCATCGACCCAAATCAACGACATTGATAATGACAGTCACCTCTTCGTCTATATGAAACTTAGTAACGTGATAGGTGAAACCCTTATATCACAAGAAAACATTGCACGCAGAAACTCAAACAAAAAGAATGACAGAAAAGAACAACAACAAAGAATAGTACCATGATGTAGAATTCAGGAGACTGTGATAAAAACTGGAAAACTTGGTCGAAGAAAAAAAGCAGAAGAAAAAGAACGTTGAGACGTTCTTCTCGGGAAGAGTACGCAATAGTATAAAACAGTAAGGTAGTTTCTTGAAAGGCAAGCATGACAAACGGATAAATTATATTCTATTTAGTTAGCCAGTAAACGCTGGCCTATTAACTGCTGGCGTTAATTTCCAGGCGAGCATAACAATTTCACGATATATAGTTGTAGGGGCCTGCCTTTGACAGTTGCTTTCTTCTTGCTAATTACCGCCATGGCAGGCAATGAGAGCATCAGGAGGACCCCGAAGACATAAAATGGAAGCGAAAAATTCCAAAGCTGCGAACAAAAGAACAGCATCGACATAAATTATGAAGTGATTTTTTCAAATTGCCGTCCTGCTGTGTTTTGGGGGTACTTACATCAACAAGGCTTCCTCCAATAACTTGGCCAAGGATTCCTCCGACTCCACCGATGCACTCTAACGAACCCTTGAATGAATTGAAATATACCTTCCATATTAGTCAAAATATATGTTTCTGGCCACTGTCGACATTTATCTTTGTGCCTGATTTGGTTTATGATTTTAATCTGTTCAATCCTGCGCGATACAGTGAGATTGGACATGACATCTGAGTTACATCGCACTTAAGTACATTGGGTGTTACGAATACTATATTCCACTAAGCTATTTCTTATTACAAAGCACGATTCACCACACTGTCATACTTTATTGATAGCCGATCAACTGTAAAGGAATATTAAGAAAATACGAGCGACCTACTATTGCTTGTTCGAGGTGATTTTGTGTCTCTCTTTACTATCCCCGCTTGATAAATCATATTATTGCTGCAAAGAAGTGCCTCTCATGAACACGAGAGAAAATGAATACGGTAATTGTGCCAACTGGTTTTGTAGCGACTTTTGTTGAGGTGCCCTAAGGCGCACCGAGCGTATACAGTTGTACATGGCTTAGATATGAACTCTCAGAAACTATTAATGTATCGTCAACTTGTCTCGATAATTATGAGAATTAATTGAAATCATTTAATATTACAAAAAAAAAGACTGGCTTCCAGCCATTTTACTTGTGACCTCTCTTCCTTTTTAATAGGAAGAATATCGCTCTAACGAATGCTGCACGGAGTGGGAAAATACACGAAGTAATCGTGAGACAAATCTCGCGTGCTCTTGAGTACGCAAGGAGCAATTGAACAAAACCTTGGAGCCATGGTCTTTGATAATGTAGAAACTGAAAAAAAAAAAAAAAATGTTGTCACTATTTATTGCGCAAAACTTCTTTTGAATTGGCCGAAACTTTACTAATTATATATTCCTTTCATTTAAGACATGGAAAGGGAATTTTCCGAAGAGAACCCCGTAAAGCGCAAGGCGCCTTCACAGTAAGCAAATTAGGAAAATGTTTTCGGTGACCGTAGTAAGATAACGGTATTAAGTAACGCCATCCTTTAAACTTACTATGAGTAAGCCCTCTCTTTTGTGAAAAGTGGCGGTCAAGAAAGAGTACATGGATATGTTGTAGGTGCTCATCATAATTCCTCCGAAGATGGTTGACGATATGGCCAATCCCAGAAGCAAACTTCTGTCCTCGGCCCAGTACAGTGTCCTGGTAAATGGTGACCAGAAAATTTGAGTGGCGCATCGGGACTACAGCAGAACAGAACACAATGAAGCTTACTCAAATCAAGTGGATAGCGTATTCACTGATAACCTAAGAAACGCAGGACGTGGCAGGTTCCGAGTATATTATTATCGCTCCATAGTCAATCAATGCCACCTAGATAAGCAGAAGGCCTCCGCACCTTCAACACAGTCAGATCGATCAAGGCCTGACAATGGGCACCAGTGCTGCGTCAGTGTTCGGCCGGGGCTCGTATTCAATCAGCACGTCGAAGGTCGGACTCGGGCCCAATAGCCGAGTTAGAGCGATACGACTGTGATGAGTTTTTATGAAGGGAGAGGAGGCGATGCTTTGTTTACTCTAGATGGTGTTGGGTTCATGCGATTTCGGCTATACCTGATAAGGAGGCGGAATAACAGCATCTACAACAGCAGGAAAAACGATTTTAAAGCGTCTATAGCAGCTGGAAGTACGATATTAAAAATTAACCTCCTGGGTGTCTCATAGTGGTATCGTTTAAGGCTCACAAAATGAAATGATCGTCCTGAAGAAATTAGTCTTAAGTGTAACGCCGGCTGCTACTCTGACGGTTCTATTGAAGGTATACACGGGACGTTTTATTGTGGGTCGTTGGTTCGCAGCGCGTGCCCAGAACTATTTCCCATTTATCGTCTGCTGAGAATACGGATCCTGATTAGGTGAGGTGCACGTTGAACGCCCGTAATTGTGCATTCCTCCCAAGCAAGATATTTGTTTTTGCCAGAAGATAAGTGGAAGCTAGTTCTGAGCGTGCGCTGTCTTGGCAATTTTAGAGCATTTTATTATGGCACCGCAGTCAATGAGGTACCGGTATCAACCGATGAGAGCGCCGTAGAAGAAAGCACCATGCAAGAAGAGTGAACATATTTATCTAAGCATTGCGTATTTTATTAAGATGCCAGTGACCATACAATGTCATTTTGTACGGACACAACAAAACGCAGAAAGCATTCTCTGTTACTAAACATTTACGGAAAATAAAGTTTTGAAGTAATTTCGACCAGTTGGAAATATAGCAAATTGCGAGGAGGCTTTCGCCGTTACTGCGCAAGCAAAAGCAACAAAATGATTGAATAAGTGGTCCGAAATATATACCGCATCTCGTATTATTTTACATCCTGTAAAGAATAACCGGCCTGTGATTCGCCAATGGTGGAGGTAAGCATCTGACTTGCAAACCCAATTAGCATAGTTACACGTATAGTGAACGATAGAGGGTGTCCGAAATCATGTAATATATTTTGTGCTCACGTAGCCCAACAAGAGTTGCAACTAGCTGTTTCTATTGCAGGTATGACGTTCTGAGTGTAATCTATTCAGCAGACGTATTTATATATATATATTTTTTTAATTGAGAGGATATTTCAAAAATCGTTTCTCAAGATCCTGTTGACCGCTATTTGGAAGACTCTAAAATGAAAAAAAAAATAATAAAGCAAGAAAGACATTACAGTAAATGCTCAAAAACTACTGAATAGCCACCAATGTTCTGTTGGTGCAAAATGGGCCAGTTGGCAATTGTGCAGACTAAACTCACCCAAAGAGGCAACAGAAAACAGCCATGCCAATGTGGCCAACAAAATAACTGGCTCTGGGTGTTACCCTTTTTGTCTGGAATTTTAAGAATCACACATATATGGATTAATATAATGCTGAACGTAGCACACTTCAGAAAATCTAAGAGCTTGGTTGCACAAATATTGGATTTTATTTACAACTATATACGTTTTCTTCCTTCCTTATTTGTTTCGAGAAAACATGTAAACTGTTAAGGGCGAAAATGTTTCTGAATAGTTATTAGAAGTTGACAAACGCACGTACAAATCGCAATTGTTATTTGTTTTGGAGTTTGCCTTAGAACAAATACTGCTGCAGGCGTTTGTAACTCCACCCGTAGCATACTGCTTGGTAATTTGGTAATTTAGCAAAAGTTCTATTCTTCCTACAGGGGAGGAAACGCCTGGTAAATCCCGTAGAGTTGATACCATCCCCCTCTCGGCTAGGCGTCTTTTCAGGAAAAGGTCCAATATAGTTTTGTGCATTTGGATAATGAACTATTGGTCACACACTTAAATAATATCAGCATTTTAACTTTACCCAAAAAGCTCTCCGAAAGCCAATAACTCCGTCTACAAAGACAGTACGGGGAATGACTACGTTAAAAATCAGTTTACTCCCAAAAAACAGTCCGTAGTGTCACAACGACCGTGGTGTCACATTCCTACCTTATGTTCAGTGCCACATCGCAATAAAAATATTTTTACTTGCAATTCACCGGGCTTCCTTTGTAAATATATGTGATTGGCTCCCAGGGTACCCGGCGTTATGCCAAAATGTGGGATTACTAATGGTCTCAAAGTCTTAGTATATCTCTGAGCGCGCAGTGAGCCGCAATGCACCCAAAACACCAATAATTGTCTCTTATTACAGATCGGGTCACCAAATTATTAAGGGCGGTCGGGATCATGCTCTATGGCCATTTGATCGGCAGTAGGGAAGCATAGACAGCGGTTTCCCTCTTAGAGCGACTGCGTGACCATTGACGTAAAAGTACCAACTACCTTTCACCCTGGTGCAACTGACTCTAGGAAGAGCAATGCTTGACGTTCTGAGCGCATCGCGGTGCACCACACACACGGGAGCTCCTGGAAACTTCTGATTCTAATAGGCAAATAATACTGGTTGTTTCTCTACGATGCGTACCAATATTCCAGCCAACACCGATCCTGGCAAGGATGAGACGGTGAACGCTGAGAAGATAAGTCCGTACTCCCACGCTTGGATGCCTCTTGAAGTGGCCTGGATAATGAAGCTACTATTACTCGCTACTCGAGAAAATACGGAGTTATGGTTCAGGTGTTTTTGATGTTTTTATTTATTTATTTACTTATTTTAACCCTAAAGGCCCTTTCAGTCAATGTATAAGGAGATCGTGATACAAAGATTAGTACAACTCAACCGAGTGAAGTTTTCTTTGTTGCGATATTTTCCTCGAATAAATGGAGTAAACCGGGAGCGAATTGGTTCCTAATACAAAATGTGTATGCTCTGCAGGCTCTCGAGTGTTTGTTACGCAATGAGCACCTTTTATTTTAAAAAAAGAAGGATTAACAAAGTTTGCATTGCATTTTTTTAATGGGTAATGTATTGGTGGAACAAAGAATTATAAACATCAGGCTTCACTCGAACTTGAAGTAAATACTACATCTATCATTTTAAAACTGGGCTGTGATTTTCTTACTCGGGGTCTTCGTTTGGTTTAGCAACCTGCACTTTGAGGTATACAATAATTAATAACCTCCGTTCTGATCGATTCATTGCAATTCCTAGCTCAACTTCTGTAAGCGTTTCGTTTTGAGATAACGAGACAAACTCTAAACTTGGTCTTAAAAAGCGCGCTTTCATTTGTGATTTATTATTTAAAAATAAGGACTGCCTATATGTAAAATGAAGACCAATTAATTTTTCATTAAATTGAAGTTTTCGCATAAAAATATCTACAAAGACATACAATTTTAGTAAATACTTGCATGGCGCATTTTATTTTATAACGTATTTAAAAAAACTGTTAGGCGCATATTGCACGCCTGCATTATTGTGCAAATGACTTTCAGCGAATCTCTGTAGAACGTAGCTTCTAACTTGGTGCTTTCTATGCAATAGCTATTCCCAAGAATTCGACTCGGTGTATTCACTCACAAGAGGAGGAAGGTATGGCGCCATGCAAGACGCCATTGCACTTATCCACAGTTGGTTGTAGAGGGCAGGCAAAATCCGCGCAGCGCTACCCAGACTTTGTGGGAGCCACGGGGGATTCAGCCCTCCGCTCCGGTAGGATACGTCGCCTGAAGAATCGTCAGCCGTGTTCGAAGGGGATTCCGAAAGACCTTCGCCTTCATCAGGTGTCGGTAGGTTTTCTTGAGCCGTAGATCCATATGCGGAGCATTGTTGAGTCTTACGGTGATTGGTACCCCATATGGGCGCGACCTCCGCATCAATGTCACCTGTAAGGGGTGGTGTTGTCTTATTGACATTGCTCGTTCTCTCCCGACACATTGCTCATGATCCATCATTAAGGATTTTTCTTATATACTCTGAGATGATCTGGAGCGCATTCTGCGTCGCGAGGCACTTAAGACGCCAACCATTTGCCTTCTTTTGAGGGGCTCAAGCAATGAGCCGGACGATAGGCGTCATGATCCACTACGGTCCACGGTTTCAGTCGAAAGATAGGTAGTGGCCATTTTACCAATAAGAATCTGTGACTTTTTGGCTACGATACCGTTCACCTTTCTTATTAGAGAGTTTTAGTAGATCGTTTTGATATCTCCGATGATAATAATACCAAAAAAAAAGAAGGTACAATGCATGCACAAAGACGTTAGTGGTGTATCTCGTGTCGTCATCGGGTCATCAAAGCGACCTACTAAAATTCGCGTTTGACTGAACTTATTGCAAGACGACGAATGATTTCCGTTCGGAGTGCATAACGTGGCAGCATCGCTGCAGAAGCCTAATAAAGTGTTGTTTAGGAAAAAAAGTAATGACTAATTAGCCTTTTAAATTATTGAAAAACTCAGGAAGATTGTCATCTTGCAGACTACAGGATTAAGAACAAATAAAGATATAAAATTTCCAATGACGACCCCAAGATTGGTAATGACATGTATTTGCTAAAATGTACGTTTTTGTGGGCGACAATGAACATCGTGACTACACTAAATTTTTTTTCAATCTAGGTAATTAAACGCACGTGCCCCTTTGTCCTGACACAACCTTGGTGACGTAAGGCAGGAGTAGAAATTCCATTGACTCACCCTGGAAGTTCATATCTGTGAATTAGTGAGATCAGCACAGGCTCCACACATGCATCTCTCTTGGCATAAAGACGCTTCTAAACTCGTACACTTAGACAGGCATTTATGTGCATTCGAGTTATGCTTTTTTCTATTGGAATGTAAACGTTCGCGGGAGCGAATTGGCACGCACACAACAGCTATGAAAGTTGTTCTCATATGCACGTGAGGCAAGAGACAAAACAAAAATTAGTCTCAACCTACTCATCGATCAGTTCTTGGAATCCGGCCGTTCACTCGCTTTCCTGTGCACAACGCTCTACAGTCTAAAGCACTTGTATGCGCAACAGCTGGAAGGAAGTGCAGATGTTCGCGACTGCCGTCACGTGCTGCTTAGTGTCAGGGAGTTTGTTTTCTTTCTCTACAGTACTCTAAAGCACACGTGCCGCTTGTTTTTTTTTTAGAGTATGCCGCGACTGTTGAGGCGTGGATCATAAAAAATATGAAAAGAGGACTGGATTTTTACCTTCTAACTGAAGATTTTAAGGAATTGTTTAACACATTGAAGTGTCTTACAATACTCGATTATCTACTTATGGCTAGGACTGGAGAAAGAAAAAAAGAATAACTTACCTGTCATGTCGGCTTTGTCGCGTCTATTGCCAAGAGGTCGTGTTTTCAGGTAGGGTATACTAGGTGCTCAGTGCTCGTTCGCTGTGAATGTTAGAGGGCGTCAGGGAAAGCTGGCACAATGCATATGTAAACGCATCTGCGCTGCGTTTCTGGGACAAATCTGAGGACGAACTGCGCTGTTAGGTATTTTTATGCGCGCAGTGAACTAAGCGTTTCGGAACCGGATAGAGGTTTAGATCCACTGCAGTTGTCGTCCAACGAAATAACATAAATTTCTCCGTGACTCAACTGTAACACTACATTTTCAGTGGATATATGAGTCAACAAATACTGCAGCTGCAATTTTAATAATTGATTACATGAGAAGTTTCTGGCCGTTTTTGCTTTGAAATGTGAAGACTGAACGCATGCCGGTGTGCCCTTTCCGCTTGCTGAGGATTTGGACAAAGAACTGGCATGAAATATCTGAATCTGGTATAGGACACTTTACAGCATAGACTTGAAACTTTCTGTCGTTTTAATATTTTATATATTGAATATTTTAAAATTTCTATTATCCCTGAATGAACAAAGTGGCGATTCAGCCAAGTTGGTTCATTCGTAACAATTAATGAAACAGCGCGCAATAAAGAAGGAGGACAAGACAAGCGCTGAACTTCAGCAAACTTCAGCAAACGTCTTTAATTGACACTACGTGCCACAATTAAAGACGTGAACCACACCATAATCGTCCGTGTTGACGCGATTAGGGTGTGGTTGGTTTCTTCGTTGGACGTAGTGTCAACAAATGTTTAGCTGAAGTACAACGCTCGTACTGTCTACTCCCTTTTCTGTCCTTGTTGCTTGAGCGCTGTTTCACCAATCTATATTATTCTTTTAAGTTAAGTTAAGAATAAGACCATCGCAAATTGAATCAATAGTTGCAAGAGAGATCAGCTTGCTGCTAAAATTAAATATTTCGAATTTTTCTCCAACCAATATCAGTGTATTTCTTTTTAGGCTTAATATATTCGTTGAAACATAAAGCCATAAAGAATACACTAATGGTTGGCGAAAGTGTGTTTTACGGCCAAATGGACGTCTAGAGGGGGTTAAGCGTCACGACAACTAGAATACTTCATTAAATTTAACTTTCCAATTAGTGAATATAAGCAATTGTCTCCATAATTGACACTAATACATTTGCTGCAGTGATTAGCCTATTTCTTTCTAAGCTGTAACAAGCTTACAGCTTGTTTTTGTTATTAAGTATTTGTGCTTTTTTAAAGTGCTATATTCCTTGTATATCCCTGGGGCCCTCAAGGAAAAATGAATGATGATGATAACATGTTTTCAATTAAAAACTTGCTCAGCTTCCTCGAAAACAACTAAATGAGCAACGTTTGGAAACACTTCGAGCGCGCGGGAAGCACAGTAATATCACTCGTGCAACAGGCATAAGTCTGGGGTGAGAAAACGTGGATAAGAGACGGAAAAATCGCGCGTGCGCGTTATCACAACGGTAGCTTTGCTACTGCTTTCTAATATTGCCCTATTTAATGATTTTCGGTGACGTTCAGCAAGTTTATAATTAGAACCGAGTGTTTATTTTCAATAATTAAAACATTAATTACATATTTTAGTTAATTACCCGCCTGATTGTTACGATTAGCCCCTACATATATGCCCCCCTTGGCCGTATAACTCACCTGCAGAAACGGCATTAGCGCTGCTTTCACGTTTTTTTGTTGAAAGAACTGTTAAGCTTAAATATAAGAACCCAGTATAGTTTGTACTTTACGAAATATAATTGATAATATCGTATGAAATATTTGCGATCAAAAGCAGCGGACAGACAATGTGTTTTGAAAAATACATTCAAATCGATGGAGCACAAAGGACTTGTCATGCGGTGGTATAGCACGCCACTACTCCGTCGTCGTCATCTTTGTAATGTTATACACCAGGTCCTAAAGCTCTGTTTCGACGTTGGGAGTGTAAAGTTCGTGCGTTTAACCCAGGGGCGTGAAATTTTAAGGCAATCTCTTGGATGTCGCTTATAATGTGTTCGAAAACATAAAGTTTAAAAGTTTGCTTTTGATCCTGGATGTCGTTAATTTTTTTCCTAACTCACGCTTTCTTTTTTTATGTTTCAGTCGGCAAAACAGGACAGCCTGTGATTTGCCTAAATTCCAGTGAGGCACAACTTCACTGGTGATGTTTCTGTGAGGGCTACCTGACAAACTTGAAAGACATAGTCAGCGGAAATGCAGTTCCTTTTGTCTTGATTTTTGTTGTTATATGCAATCTTCAACATGTCTTGACTGCTTTATTCCATCAAATTAAAATAATTTCATATACTTTATGATATTTTACTCATGTTGAGTGATCATGAAGAAATATTACATCTTTTTGAATTATTTATTTTGGGTTTTCGAATTGAATGAACGGAAACTACGAGAAAAAATCCTTTTGAGATTCTTGAAGTGCCAAAGATAAAGGTGCCGGGAACCTTTGTCACACCTGGTGTTCGACGCTAAAATTCAAGCTTACGTTGGTTCGATGGAAATTTCAGTTTGTGATATAATTCAAGAAAGCCAGGTTTTCAGGAAAACAAGGAATAGTTTAGCTTATTTTTTTTCTATCATAAAATGAACCTCGGTTACACATTGTGAAAGCGAAAATTGAAACGTGAAATTTAATTATTTTTATGGCGGTGATAAAAATACTTACTTGATAATTTTCTGTCCCATATAATGCACCCCAAAACTTTAGTTCGACGTACTTTGCACTATAGACGAACACACGACCACGAATTTAACGAGGGGCTTGATAACGGTGCGATATAACTTATTAAATAGCCAAAGTACGTAACAAAGATCACAGAAAGAAAACACAGGTTTTTCAGTAGGACCAAGAAATCCCCGATTATTATTTTTTTTTGTAGTCAGTAACAAGTAACATTCACTATTTTAATAAGTTTGTTCCACACGGCTCTCAAGCCTCTAGTGAAAGTTAGTACCACCAGATCGACGTGAGTGGGCTGTACGTCGAACTGAAGTTTTGGGGTGTATTTTATGGGACAAATGGTGTAAGAATACACCCTTTTTTAAGAGGGTATAGGTACGTTCAAATGTTGAGCACCAAGTCGGAATTCATGTTTCACAAATGGCCAATGTTGTTTCAATTTGCGTATGCCAAGCCTTTCAAGCATGCACCATGGAGGCCTCTTCTTAATTTCGTCCATGTGTGTAATATTGGAATTTCAGTAGAACTCGAAACTCGCCCGATTCGCGACGTCCCTTCCAGAAACATTTATTTGTTTTATATATATATTTTTTTGTTTTGCTTC